CTATTACTTCTACTTGGACACATCTCCATTTATTATGCATCCAAAAGTCTCATGTGTGAAACACAAATTTTCCTTCCACTCGAAGCTTCTTCGAGAGTTTTTTATGTAAGTGCACTTGTAGTGCACCTATTTCTTATATACATTGTTGTTACTACGGCTTTTGTCCAATACTCAAATCCAAGGTTTTGTACATGTATCATACTCCTTGCTATCTCTACAATGGTGCTATTTGCTCTTTTAGCAATTTTATCTTATTCTAGAATATAAGGAGTAGAAGTTTATCTTATAATATCATGCATCTTCAAGAAAACATTGAATTGCTTTGACATATACTCACTTCCATTGTCCATACACAATACCTTGATTTTGCATTTACATTGCTTCTCCACAAGTGCCTTAAACTCCTTAAACCTTGTGAAACACTCACTCTTTGCTTTGAGGATGAAAATCCATATCTTCATTGAAAAATCATCAATGAATGTGACAAAGTACCTTGCACCTCCTATTGATGGCATTCTCTCAGGTCTACAAATATCAGAATGGACTATCTCCAAGAACTTGATTGCACATATTGCAACTCTACTTGGAAATGTAGTCCTTTGTTGTTTGCCTTAAATACAACCTTCACAAGCAAGTGTCATAGTATTGTGGCTTATATGACCAAGATCTAAGCGACTTATTATGGATTGGAGTTCTTTCATACTCTTGACATTCAAATGACTAAGGCGTTGATGCCAAATGCCAAACTTATCTTGATCTTGAAGAAATTTAGCAAATCCTGCCATTTCAACTACATTCACGTTCTTATACTTGATGAAGTAGAGGTAGCCATTTCTAAAGCCCTTTACAACATCATCTCCTTCCAATGTCTTTACAAAACACCCATTCTTATCAAATTATACTTTACAACCATGTGAAACAAGTTTAATCATCGAGAGGAGGTTTTTCTTCATCTTTGGCACATATAAGACATCCTTCAATTTAATCTTCTTAGTTTGGCCTTTCATAACAATCTCTACTACAATAGAGCCTATTCTAATAGCTTCTACTTTGCCATTGTCTTCCATGAGTATATTTGTTGCTGAAATTTCTTCATAAGTATCAAATGAATACTTGTATGGATTCATATACTTGACAGAACCCAAATCAACAATCTACTTGGACATAGTAGCCATGGAAATACTGTTACTTGCCATGAATGCATAATCATCACCTCTATATTACAAGTGAAGAATTTCCTCCTTGTGAAGATGTTATTGGACAAGTTCTTGCTCTCATATATGTTATAAAAGATCTTCTATGCTTTTGCTGGTCTTTTGTAAGAGATGATGTGAGAAAAATTGGCTTCATCCAAATTGGTGGAAATCATGCCAAAAGCCTTCTTTTCACGTCTTGTAAAGTCCTTTTTCTCTTTAGCATCAACATGCATACTTAGAGGCTCTTCACGTTCATCTTCAATGTTCCAAAGGTCCAAAGATGCCAATAAAAGTTCCATTTTTACCTTCCATTGGTAGAAATTGTCACCTTTAAACTTCTCAATCACTCTCAAACCTTCACCCTTACTAGAAGCCATGTCTAAGAGCAGGTCTATCAAAAAATATCAAAAAAAGGAGTCTGTATGTCCTTAAAAACACCAAAATAATTTTTGCACTAACAAAATCTGAGAATGCCCTCTTGTGAACAAATGATTGTTTCTTCACTTCAATCACTCACAACTCAAATTTCAAATCTACTAACAAGTATGTGAACTCCAATCAGCCTCATCATTAAGTTTTTTAACTCATAAAACTTATTTTCTTACTAAAACTTCCACAATACCAAAGACACTATCAAGATCTTTGTATAAGGTCTTAATTACTCAATCCTAGAAATGAAGAGCCTTCAAACAAATTTTAGGGATCTATAAGGCCCAAATCAGAACCTCCATAAGCTAAAACACAAGATTAAATCATACAAACCCTAACATCAACAAACACCATAAGATCTATTCCACACAAAAGCAATAACCAGTAAATAACTTTAATTTACTTGAGAAGCACAATCAAGTGTATGTAGACCCATAACCTATTGAATAAACACAATAATTAAGACACAAGTAAATAAAAATCAGCAAGGTTAGACTTAAGAGTAGTATGGAATGAGATATCTCTCACTTCCAATATTTTCTATATATAGATGGTGGTTGCTAACCAACGATACAACTTTCATATTCTTGATATTACATCTATTTCTACTTCATCCAACTAAACCTTAGATTCTTTCTTAATCTAGCCGCCACCTTAGTTGCTTCCCTTCACTTTTTTGCTGCCCTTTGACTATTAGCAACTTATTTAGGATAATACTTACTTATTTTAATACATATTTCTATCTCTTCAAGTTAGAGCATTTAATCAACAAAGAAATATAGTACTTGGATTTGGAGCACTAGAAATATTTACAATGAATCATAATCCTAGAACATCTTTGACTAAAAGTGAAGTTGCTAAGATTTTGTATCTAAAATAGATTGCAAATGAAACAATTACTGGCTTCAATGGTGCGCCTCGGATTACAAGGATTCCAATTAATGAGGCTCAAAATGAACCCGCTCAAATTGCAATGCCACTAACAAATATACCTCAAGTTAAAATATCAATAATTAAAAGGACTTATGGATTATATAAACAACCCTTAAAAGAAGAAAGCTATAACATATGGTGATTCAAGTATTGTTTCTGCAAAAGTTCTTACTAAACCTACAAGACCATCAATTAATGACAATATGTCCATACACATTATACCTTCACCTCATACTGTAGAAAATTCTAAAATTAAAAAGAATAAAATCAAGTTGAGTACAAAATTATCTGTTCTATACTATACTACAAATGACCTTTGGGATAGACTATCTATTATAATAGATGAATCATTTGCATTAATGATGGCAGAAGCTCATTCTTACAAGAAAGAAGATCATGAATCTCAAACCATTCAAAAAGCGATGTATCGCTTTCATTGGTTAAAATGGAAAATTGTCATCAAGGAAGAGTATGCTTCTTTGCGTAAGAAAAAAGTCTTTGGTTCAATTGTGGACACTCTTACTTCTCGCTCGATATGATATAAGATGGTATTAATATGCAAGCGAGATGCTAAAGGTCAAATAACCCACTATAAAGCTTGTCTTGTTGCTCAAGGATTTATCCAACAGTTTGGCATTGATTCTCAATCTATATATTCTTTAGTCATGGATTCGATTACATTTCAATATATTATTGGAATAGCAATTAATGACAAGCGATGAGGATTGTTGAGAGCATTAAATGTAGTTGGGACTCCTTATACTATTTATTATGGTCTATAGTATTTGGAATGTAATAAGAAGACATTATTTATCTTCTCTCCTTCTCTTTGTATAAAGGATCTAATCCTATCAACAAACTTACTTGTATGTGTGTGTGTTTATATATGTATGCATATTACTTCTAGCTACTTTTGTCTCTCTTTTTCTAAAATATTCTCAACAAAATTGAAACGAGACTCACCTTTCAGGGAAAAAACTAAAACTTTGATATGCTATTTTTTGTATATTTTAAAAAGCCTATGAAATTATTTGACATTGTTTAGAATATCCAACAATAGATACTGTCTACTTAGTATCATTTTTTTTTTTTTTGGAGGGAGGAGGAGGGATATTTTGGAATTGTAAATATGACATAATGATATGCATCTAAATTCAAAGCTCCTCTCAAACTTGAAGATGAATTCAATAACATTATTGTTTGGTTTTAATTTTGGATGGTTTCAACTTCTTATATTACTTGAAAAAGAAGTTGAGCTTATTTTTCATCAAATGAATAATGATGTATATTGAAAAGTTAAAAGTGGTCATATAAGTTATCTACTTCAATTTGTATTAGATAATATTTTGAAGCATTTGTATCAATTTTTTCCAACATTCAACATTTATATTTTGTATGGTTATGTGACTTTCCAATGGTATTAGTGGTTATATGTGCATGTGAGATTGTATTAAATTTTCATACAATTAAAATTTATAAATAACAACATTATGTAAAATATAAAATAAAAATAAAAATCATTACTTTAACCAATAGTTTTTATTATTTACAAAACCAATTACAAAATTATGATTAGTATCATATATTATATGTAATTTTTTAAAACTGTATTCAGTTTGATTATTCAATAGTTTAAAGTTATTGCCAATAAATATATATATATATATATATATGCTTTTAAATTTTATTTTCAAGTTGCTATCAATATATATATATATATATATATATATATGTGTGTGTGTGTGTGTGTGTGTGAATCCAAGTGCCCTAAATGTCCAAATGTTCCATTACATGAGCAAAAAAGAGTTTACTTTTATTTTTCGTTTTATCACAGCCAATATTGTGTGAAAGTGAACAAATTCAGGAATAAGTCTGAAGGCTTCTTCATCTGCTCTATCCAACTAAAGTTTTAAAACTCTATCCTACCACAGAAAAATTGAACTAGGTACATTTCCAAGAGCCCATGTGGGTTCATTCGAATAGAATCAACAGAATGAACTTTCAGAATGCCACATGGAATAATCTTTGTTCATGTATATATACAGAATACATAAACATATACATACAAAGGCAGGGCCTACATCTTAGTGCCACTTTTGATGAGTCGTGTACCAAATTCACCAATACAATCGAGTTTTTCATTTCAATGACAGATGTATGCTTCTCAAACAGCTAGTCACTGTGCCCAGGGCTTGGATCTTATATTCCGGTATCAAAATTATTGTATTGGAAATGTGTTATTGGCTTGTTATATTCCGGTATCAAAATTATTATATTGGAAATGTGTTATTGGCTTGTACAATACAGAGTGGATACATTCTATTGTGGCTTTGTGCACGTTTGTTGCCTATGAATTGGATCAGTGTTGAAACTATTCACCAAATTTGCGGATGTGGACCAATGAATGTATAAAGAACTTAATAAAAAAAACTGAAGATAACATTTGGCGTACAACTGAAAAAGTATTGATTTGAAAATGTGTTCATAGTACAATCGAATAAGAATTCGAGAGTTTTTCATCGCACTCTCTTTTCATATCTTACAGCGAGACACTGGAAGTAATTGCATTATTCGCATTTTAGATATTTTCGTTACAGAAAATCAATACAAATATCAGACACATTTTCAACGTCAGTCAACGTGTGTTAGAATTGGTGTTATATACGTCTATTTTTCACATCACCAGTGAGTCAGCACTTCCGCCGTCTCCAAAACTCACGAACAACTAAAGTTCAAGGTTCTTCTTACTGATCAGACAGGCATTTCTCGGGAGTTACGCCTTCACAGAACTCACTCAAAATCCTTGGTGATGAAGCACTATCTAAGACAGTCACAATTTGCACATTGAAGATCATAATTGGTGAAGATTAGACAATTGATTTGCAATGTGAGACTGTTAGCTTTCTCTAAAAACTCAGAAGGTATTTATGCTGCAGAATTGTGAAGAACAGACGTTGGAGAGTAAGATGACACTGGGGACACAACTCTCTAGAACACAAGGTTAGTCTGCAAGATGCTTTCAATGTGGTCAGTGAGCAATCTAATGAGCTGTTTAGGAGCAAGAGAGTTACTGCTTTGGGGTGCAGTGCAGGTCGTACTCGTCGCGTTGAGGTTTGAAACGAGTTGCAACCTGAAGGCAACGTGAATTTAATCCCCGCGTTCAGCTCCTCAGGTATGCACAATGATATCTGGTGAGAGTTTCTCAGTCCCCCAGTATGGGATACACAAAATAGAAGACGATCTGCGATCACAATTACACAAGATATGTTGCAGGGCTCCTGCACGTCAGATAGGCAACAGGATACACGACTTAAAAACACGCTCAGTCCCACTCAGTGTCGTTGGCGAAATTCTGCAACACGTAGAATGAAAGACTCCCAAGACATAAATTACTCTTTACAAGCGGGTATTCAAAGGTGCAGTGGTGCAAATGAAGGGTTCACTGAGAATGTAGAATCAATCAAAAAACACAAATGATTAGGTACCTATACTACACGCAGAGAGTTGAAATCTGCTCTTACACTCACACTGTTTCGAAGCAAGGCAATCTGCCTTGATACGGATCGGCGTTGACCAGTGGCAATAGACAGAAAAAAAAATAGAACTGAAAAATGTCATCTACAATTGTCAAAGTTGCGGTTCATGAGCCCTTGGAAGAAATTAGCAACTACAAACTTGTTTCTCATACAAGAGTGCGTTCGCCACCGCTGGTAGCTGTTCGTTCAGATGAACAATTCAGGCATTTATATCCAACCATACCTCAGCCAGGAGCAGATCAACTGAGCAGAGAGGCCGCTCAGCCAGAACACTCGAAAAACAGGAAATTCTTTCATCTCCCTCGAAGGCTTCCGACAGCAGAGAGAGCAAAAACACCTCAACTATGGGTTATAACCACAATGGAATTGTACCCTCCTGTTGTTGGAAGCCTTTGAGGGAGAAAAACAAACACCCGAATATCAACAATCCGCCGCAAGAATCGACCTCGCTCCGCACTAGCCTGTGCTACACACACTGACATGAAAGCAGCACAAAGCAATTATGATCACTTCACAAGTGAACAACACTCAAACATTACACAACTGCCAAAACAACCAGGACGGAACATAACTTGTCGCGGAGGGGTCGCTTTGCACGCTGGTGCAGCTTAAGGACTCGAGGCCAGAGATGACAAGTTAAGGCTTTCCGCAGGTGAGAATAAGTGGAAAGGATGGATTGTGGTGGATTTCCGCACAGGGGTTACTTATACCTGAACCGGATCTTCTCACTCCAAAAGCCAGTTGATGAATTCCCAGCTCCTCGGTTTTGGATCTTTGCAGGATGAATGTTACACTCGCAAAGTCGACCAACTCGCGCGGCTTCATTGGATATCATGTCGGTCAAAAGGAAACTTTTGTACTGGTAATTGTGCCATTTGTCCTCACGAGAAGTCAGTTGTAAGCTGAAACTCGTTCTGTGGATACTTTTCCACGTAATTTTTGCCACAATCGCGTTTCTTAAGTACAGAAGCTATTTGTGGGTCAGCGTCTACATTACCTCTTCTCCCTCGTCCACCAATTGCCCCAATCTCTCATTCTTTGTGTTTCCGTAAAAGTTTGTTTCACTGCACTGTACCTGTAAGTTCCGCTTTGCAGACAACCTATGCTAATTCGGAGTTGGTGACTGGCAGGGTCTCTATGTAGACAATATACTAGGTTTTCATTGCTTTTAGGCTTCGAAGTGGCAGGTTTTCAAGCACTACAGGTCCATGCATTTTGTTCCAGGCTTACGGATGGCATGTTTTAATTTTCCTTGTTGCCTCAGAAATTTGTGACGACAGCATTCTCGGATCTCAGGGGCCCACTTTATCTACCCAAAATCAATAGACCTCTGTCATCAACTGTCGTCGTTCCATTGCACCAATAGCTGTGCCAGAGTTGAGCTAAAATAAACTTATCACTATAGCCGTATCAATCTGAAATTCCATGCAGATGGAAAAATACTTACGACGTGTTCCACTCGAAATCGCTATTGATGTGGTCTTAACCCAGCAAGTATTTACCAGGAAGAGTAAGCTCCGAAGCGTTGATGTAGCATTCGGAACCCGTCATTCTCTTGTACGACAGTGCGTATATTAATCCTCATTATCATTATTAATAATAAGGACTTGAAACTATTAAAGACTCCTCATTACCGGGAGGTATGGAGAATACCACAATGTTTTCTGGAGCACCCGGAGCTTTGGAGAGTTTGATACATCCGCGTGGCGGTCATAGCTTTAGATTCTTCATTCGTTAACTCCGCGTCATGTCCACATGAAAATAGAGACCACCAACTGTATACCTCCCGAAGACAGGCTTGTTGACGTGAAAATTGTCGTCAGCAAAATAAGTAAAAATGGTGCACCCCCCAATTTACTGAAGTCTCAAGAAGTGAAATCAGTCACGGAAAGAGCTCTGCTGATGCAACTCGCTGTTGTGACGCTCGGAACGCGTGACACGGAATTTTGTCACAAGCCCCACGAGCCATCGAACGCTGCCATGAAGTCAGCGCTGTATGCCAGGCGTAAGAGACCAAGACCAAGCTCGCACCTAAGCAGCAACAAATCAGACTGCACAGCACATTTCTAAACTTACCAAAAGCAGGAGCGCAAGCGAATGAAAAAATAGCGAAATGGTGGGGGGACCCAAGAAGCGGAGGTCACGACACGAGGACCATCTTCCATTGACACATGACAAAAGCAGCCCGAGGGGCACAGAACGCAACCGATTACAACGATGTTCTCCACTTTTCTTGCTCCATCCCAGACTCAAACGGTGTAATAACAACATATCTAACTGAACGAAATAGAAACTCGAGGTGGAAGAGCAGGACAAGGCGCTTGTGCCAATTTCAAGCTCCACCACTGCATGATGAATGCGAAATATCACCCTGCATCAGTGGGGACCATCTCCTCCGACGACATTCATTCCCATTCATTATCCATTCATTCCATTCCCATTCCATATCCATTCATTCCATTCCATTCATTATGTCGATCAGAAGCCAGCCTGGGTGGCGATGTCGTCGGAAAGTGGGCGTGCACCTCACCCGCAGGATTCGCCTCCCCTTCCGATGTCCTCGCCGATCCCCCTCCCTCGTGTGCATCGTTTGCGCAAGCACGTACGCACGCACGCTTTCTTCTTCTTCCTCTTCGCATGCTCGCTTTGTGTCGCGTGCTCGAAACCCTAAAACCACGAGCCCTATACCCTGATCCTGTGGGCCCTAAACCCTAATTTTGTGGACCCTGAAATCAAGCTATTGTAAAAACGATACATTAAAGGAGTTGGGTTCAAGGGAGGGCTGGATTCAATGTGGTTGGGGGTCGTTTACAATAACTGGGCATGAGAGAAGGTTCATGCACTTTGGATTGTGAAATTTGAAGTGGCCTTGAAAGAACTTGAAGAAAGAGTGAGTTGGTTGAGTTTTTTGGTTTTTGTGTACATCATCAATCTTGGGTTTCTATGTTTGGTAACATGCCAGAGAGTATTTTTAAATAAATCTAATCAAGAGATAGGAATAAAGGCAAGAAGATACATCCTTAAGCTTAGAACATCACCATTGTTAGCACCAACAACAATTTTGGATGCTCAAACCTCAAAATGAGCCTCAACGAGGCCGGCCTTGGCAAAATAAAGAGTTTCCATGGCAACATATTGTTGATACTTCTTCTTCTTGCCTTGGCCGCAACATCTTGATTGTGACTAATAGTGAATTTATAGTGAAGGGGCTTTTTGGAAGCAAGGAGGAGGAGGGAGGGGGGATTAGGAATGGGGTCTTAAAAGCACCATTGAAGGGCGGGTAAGTGACGCCAAGTGTTGCTTTTGTCGACCATCTGCTCTAGAACTAAGGATTGCGCCATGCTCGCCTTTACTTGGGTGCTATGAACCCATTGCATCCACCTTCACTTGGCCCTATTGGTGCCAATGGGTGAAGATGCCCTTAGAAAGGAAGACAAGAGGTTATCTTTTCTATAGTTTGTGATTCGTGGAGATATAAATGCTTCATTTGAATAGCTTTAATTTTAAGGTGGAATTCTTTTTATTTTATTTTATTAATAAAATCAGCTATGTTTGTATTTAAATTATGTATCAAGTCTATCTCAAAAAAAAAAACTAAAAACTAAAATTAAAATCTAAAAACTAAAATAAATATATTAAAAATGTTTTTTATTATTAATTGATATAAATATTTCTATTAAGATATGTGATTCCATATTTAGAGTTAAAAAATTATCTAATAATTTCTTCATATTTTATACTAATTATATAAGATAATTATTCATTAGCAAATTAGGAACCATTATATGGCTTTTAAACTATGGCATTTTGAAGTGGGCTTTTAGATCTAAAGACCTTTTTAGTAAACATGGAGTAAAATTCATATGGACCTTTATTCAAAAACCAAATCTTAACAAGGTACAATAGAAATATAATATTAAGAAATTATGAAAATTGAGATGCTCAAAGATGATGTACAAGAAGATGACAAAGATAACCTTCATATATTGAAATCTCTTACAACTTTGAATTGCAACAATCTTTTGTATAGTTTTAATATTGTTTTAGACAAGATAGTTATTCAGAATACTATTAAATACGTGCTTGTAAGATTAAAAGAATAAATAAATGGTCAGTAATGTTTTCTTTAAAAAAAACTTCAACAGTAATACCAGCTTAAAAAATTTGGGTTGTTATAAAACAAAATTTCATAATGTTGTCTGTAACAGTGAACAACAACAAAAACTGTTTATTTGATTAAACTCTATAAACTACCATAAAAATAAAAGAGAGTCTTTGGTTGTCTTTTATTATTATATTGGAAACGGTCTTGTTTTAAAAGTTCATTCAAACATAAAATTAAAGTTAAAAGCTTTTGCAGGAATGTCAAGATTGCAGTTACAGAAGTCATGGAATATTTACAACCAATAATTAAATATTTTTTTTGTAAATAAGAGACCCAACTCTTTTTATTCATTTAGAATACCTCAGTTTCTTACAGAATGCAAAAGGAGACACATGCATTCCTGTACCATTCTGTAAAATAATTAGCCAAAAAACAAGTGATTTTTATGTTGTATTCTAATTTAAAAAAAACCACAAACCTTCTTCATCAATTTATCACCTGTTTTTTGTAAGCAACAGAGTGGAATCTGTCTCCATGTTATTTATCTAACATCATTTTTTTTTAAAATCATTTCATGTAAAACAAAATAAAAAAGCTGTACTTGATTACAATATATATATATATATATATATATATATATATCCGCATACATATATTACACATGCACATATATTTTCTGAAGATAATGTGATGTCTTCAAATATAGTATCTTACACACTATTTTTTTCAAATACATGTATGCAATACAAACAAATGAGTATACACTACATCATGATAGATCACCATGGTTCTGAAAGTTTTTGACATACTTGTTTCTTCGTGATCCTTTATACTAACATTCTTAATTGTCTAGTATTTTCTACTGTGATATTTTTCCAAATAAATAAATTAAGTGAATTTCCCACGTGACAATGTTATGGGAAAAATTATTGAACCTTTGATGGGAAATAATATTTCAGTCTCATGTCCTTGTCAAACATCTTTCCAGGCAACATATTCTCTAATATTGTATAAAATTTAAAATTGTACATATGATTGTTTTAATGATTCCTCACAGGTATTGTACAATGGAATGATAAGAAAAGACAATTGCCTAATTGTCTTTTCAAGAGTGTTTCCAAGTCCCAAAGTAGAATTGTCCGCATCCTCAAATTTTCTCAACAAACCATGTTGTGATGGCAAATGGAGAATGTAGTTTCCACACACTAAATCCACGAAGGTTCTCATATTGCAACAAGGCTACATTACTTCCAACAAAACCAAACTAAAAATAAACAATTGACCAAACAAATATATAAATAAAGGTATGGTCAGTTGGATCCACAACCTCCAATGAAAAACACATCCCAATGATAGTCCAATGTCATTTTACTATATGAGGGAGGGAAGGGGGAAGGGGTAAGGGGGAAGGGGTGGTGGATGATGGATGAATGATGTTTACTTTTGATGTAAAGGAGGACATTGTCTTATCCTTGTCATGTCATTTGCCTTCAAGGATCAAATGCCCTTATGCAACGTCAGACTTGGGAGAATGAGGCCTTGGCCCCAATAATAGATTAAATTAATAAAATCCAAAAAGGTCCTCATAAGTCTTCTTTGTGTTTTGATTTCTGGGTGGAGGGGAAAAGCTTTCGGCCCATGCCACAGAATGATTGGAATTCGTAGGCATTTTGTCCATCCAAAGCTATGAACAAAGTGCAACGGACATGACAAAAATGGCTTTTTAAGAAGAAGAAGAAAAAAAACAAACAAACAAACAAACACCCCACAAGTTAACCAATCTAATACGCAATCATTTTTTTGTGGGTTTTTATTATATATACATATATATATATATATATATATATATATTTATATATTTAAATATGGACTAATGTACACGAATGAAATCATGAATGGGGGCATTGAATGGTTAACGACAAAAGGACAGTGAATGAGTCCAAATCGGCCCAACAATAATCCACTCACTAACAGATAAAACTTTGCAGAGTCATCATCATTCATCCTTCCCCATTTCTTCATTCATTCGACCCTCCATTCATTCCCTGAACCTAACCCGATTATTACCCCTTTCACACTGTGCCGCATGCCCCCATTTCCAGTTCATGCATTACTCCATTCCCTGCACTTAGATATTGATACCCGCCTCGGTTCAGAACCATCTCCGGGTCTCGTTTCCTCTTGATGCACGTATTCCTTATCTACGTGGCATTCATGCTTTTTTCCGGACCCTGTTCACAGGTTCATGATAGTGTGTTGTGGTTTCACTTCGTTTAAAATTGCGTGTGTGTGTGTGTGTGTGGAAATAAATGAATAAATAAATAAATGAATAAATAAAGCTTTGCTTCTGATGGTACGATTAGTTCGTGTCGGTTTTTGTACCATATCATGCAGGTTCATGAGAATATACTTGGACGTAACAACATTATTTTATAGTATATATATATGCATATATATATGTAGATGAAATGTTCATGAATACGTGTGTGTGAGAAACTAGAATTGTGGATTTTAGTTTTAGTTTTTAGTACATAAAAGTATCATACTTGTTCCAGAAGTATCTTTAAAAAAATATTGTGTATCATGAGTTCCCAGTTGTAAGTATAAAAGTGTCATGAATCTGTTTTATTATTTATCAATAAAAATTGTCATAGGATATGTCCATGAAACTTGGTCAAAACTGTAAGGATAAACTGGGATCTATCGTTTTTTAATAGTGTTTTTAATAAATAAATAAAACTTACTGGCTCGAATTTAAATGATAGTAAAAAAGAAAAAAGAAAATAATAGAATCGAACAGAGTTGCACCAAGTTTTCTTATTTGAATTCAGATTTCTAACTAAAACAAGTTTTAAAAACTGCTGATACTCCAAAAATCCAGAATTATAGGTTTTGATTCATTTGGTCATTTAAATATTTAATACATGTTATTTAGAATCGATGAACATAGTTTGTTTATATTAAAATATGTATTTTTATTCTTGAAAGTGCACTGTGCATGTCTAAATCATCTAAAAAAATAAAACGTAATTAAAAATATAAAAGTTAGAAATCATGAGGTTTTATTGATGGAAATATTTAAAATTAAGAAATTCAAGAATAAAAACACTTGGATAGTTGAAAAATAAAATGTAATTTTTAGATTTAACCTCATTGAGATTTAAAACTCTTCCTCTGTGACTTGTGTGATTATTTTTCAAACATAAGCCATATAATT